CCTCCCACAATCCAAAGATGCACAAGCTAAGTGGATTCGACATGCTAAATTACCTAGAGTGTGCAGGCAAGCTAGATTAGCCATGGGAAATGCAGCATTACAGAGATGGGGTGGGACGGGGTGGGACTGGGTGGGAGGGTTGGTGTGGATTCAATGGGCTGAATGGCCTGCTAGGTATTCTATGAGCCCCAAAACGTAATTTGGCTGCAGCCAGGCTCGGAGCAGAAGAACAGCTTGCACACTAGCTCACTGGTAGACGAAACTGCAGATGGGTTCCAATGCAGGGGACTTAGAGGAGGACTTTGATTGGGTGATATACAGCTGAAAGATGAGGAACAAGAACACTGAGATGTTTGATGCATTTTGAGGCATGCTTGACGCATTCTGAGGCATGCTTGACACTGTCCAGAAGCAGGGAGGAATTCAGCTTCAATATGACAGAGACCATCATGCAGAACTCAGCGCTGAATACTGTAGAGGTTATGACCAACTCACAGCAACATTTACACATGAGCCCACATTACAGGGTTTCTTATCTATTATTGAAGCTTCTATTGCAGCACAGACACAAACCAGCTAGTATGTCAGTGCTGTGGTGAAAATCAGAAAAATCATGCTCCAAATGCTGCAATCGTGGTGACCGATTACAGTGTCCAAAGGGGTGCGCGGGTTCGCCTTGCACTGTGTCCTCCAGTCCAATTACTAAGGTCGTGAAGCACCAGTCATAAGGGACCGAGTGACTGAACAGTGCTCACAGACAGCCCACTGAAGTGATGGAAACCTGGATGCTCCATCACTATGTCCTTCTTCACCTCCCTCTGTGGAGGACTATTTCTCTCTCTACCCTCTGCTCCACTATCCTATCGTGTTGCAGACACAGACAGTCTGCACCAACAGACCTTATCACTATTGCAGAATTTTTTTGGGACAAGTCACAAAATCCTCAACACTCCCTCTCAAATCCACCAACTCTTAAAATCATTTCCAAAAACAGTCTGCAGTATTACCACAAACTTTCCAAAATGCAGACTTTACTTAAGATTGTCTCTGCTGAAAGCTTATTGGCTTTTTTCTTTAAATAGCATCAGTAGCGGTCCCATCCTGCCCCTCGGTCAGGAATTGCCCATGGATGTTGATGGAGAAGTCTGGGATTGAAGGAGACAACTTGCTGAGTCTGGCTTTGTCAGACTGTTGCTTGAATAATCTGTGGGACAGTGTGATTTGGAGAAGTTGAATGAGTGGGCAAATGTATGGCAGATGCAGCATAATGTGGATAAATATAATGTCATCCAAAATTGGTACAAAAACAGGAAGGCAGATTATTATCTGAATAGTAATAGATTGGGAAAGGGCAGAGTGCAATGAGACCTGGGTGTTCTTGCACACCACTTGTTGGTGCAGGTGCAGCAGGTGGTGAAGATTCAAGTACAGGAGCAGGGATGCGTTGCTGCAGTTGGGAAGGGCCTTGGTGAGGCTGTGGAGTACTGTGAGGTTTTGGTCTCCTTATGTGAGGAAAGATATTCTGATGCTATGGAGGAAGTGCATTCCTGTGATTGCAGAGACGACGTACGAAGAGAAAGTGGATCAGTTAAGACTTTAGCTCACTGGAGTTCAGAAGAGTGAGGAGGAATAGAAACCTATAAAGTTCCAGCAGGACTAGACAGGGTAGATGGAGGAAGGACATTTCTGATGGCTGGGGAGTTCAGGACTAGGGTTACAGTTTAAGGATATGGATAAACCCTTTAGCACTGAGGCGGGGAAAATTTCTTCACCCAGAGAATAGTAAGCCTGTAGAATTCTCTGCCACAGAAAGCACATGAGGCCAAAGTATTGACAGTTTTCAAGAAGGAGTTGGATAATTTGCTAATTTGCCATCTAGCTCTCTAAATTTGAGGCATTCAAAAGAAAATTATTCAAAAAGAAACAGTGAGCAAAGTCCCAGGGAGGAAGCAGGAGAATCACATTAAGTGGGATATTCATTTGGAGAGTTGGCAGAGACATGATGGGCTGAATGGCTTCCTTCTGCACTGTAACAATTCTATGATTCCAGGTAAAATCTTGTGAGTGAGGACCTTCAATGGATCTCTGGTTTAGTGGGGGGTGGAATGGGGGCTGTTAAGGAAGAAGATCCCACTCCCATCTGGCACCAGCCCATGCAGCATCCCTGCTGGGCTTTGCCCTTACCATGGGCTTCTTAAAGTGGACATTAATCTGCCACCATCACCAAGAGGTATAACTGTGATGTAGGAAGGGGCATGCCAGCAGGCCACCCACTGGATGTTACATGCCCCCTCTCACCCCTCTATTTTTAGTCATATCTACTTCCCTTTGTTCTTGAGCTCACAACCATAGGAAATTATCTCTTACCATTTATTCTTTCCCATCTCTTTATAATTTTCATAAAAAGTTATTAAAGCCAATAGCAACTGAATGTTTTTCAAGCGTTATTTGTATTTTGAGTTCTCCGGATAGATTAGCATTATAGCATAAAGGTGCAATATTTTCTCAATATTCTATATTATGGGTAAGAAAAATGCCTTTCTGTTTACTTAGTACCATTAATGTAGTAAAATATTTGCAAGAATTTTGCATGAGCAAAGCCAGGCAAACATTGACAGTAAGCCAGGGAAAACAATATTGGCACAGGTGATTTCACTCTTCAAGCATCCAACTGTAGTCTTACTCATATTTAATATTGATTCCTCATTACATTTTGACCATTATATTAATATTTTGCCATAACATCGGTACTGTATTAACTTTCTTTATGTTATTTTTCACTGGAGCTTCTTTCAATGTCTTGAGAACTGAACCACAGATTCATTTGCTCTTCCCTGTCACTCAACGTTTCCAATTCAAAATAAAACACTTCTTTTGCAAAATGTAAAACATCAGAAATAAGGACATTGAAATCCATATCCCACTCTATTGCCCTATCTGTAACTTTACCAATATTCCCTTGTAGCATTGATTGGCCATCAGAATTATTTGCAATGCCTCCCACTTTGCCTATATCTGCAAATATGGATGCCTCTCACATCCAAGTAATTTCTTTACACAGTGAATAGAAGCAATTCCAGAACAGAACCCTCTGATGGGGTACCATTTCTCACTTTCAATGACTCTGAGAAATAGTCTTTTAACTGCCTCACTCGGCTTCTTTCCTTGTTTGCTTTGTTACACAGAATTCTACAGCCCTTAATCCCTGATAGTCTGCCGTGTGGTACTTGTCAATGATGGTTTGAAGACTTAAGCGCATTGTACAGACTCCATTTCCAGAATTCAACATATCCATCCCTTTCTCCAACAGATTTATAAACACAATCTTCCATTCTTAAATACATATGGCTGCTTTTAACCATTTTATCTCCATTGTAACATCTTGTAATTCTCCTCTAATTGAAGTTGTGGAATCATAACTGTAAAACTGCAACACTGAAGAATAGTTTTCTTGCACATCTGTGGTTTCTAACTGCTTTCAAAGCTATAATATGAGTTTTAAAAGTCAAGTGTTAAAAATTAGAATTCAACTTGCTCTGTGGGTTGTAAATTATCTTTCAAAGCAGCTTTAGAGATGCAAAATTGTGGAGTTAATATTGTAAATGTGATGGTCCAATCCCAATGTATTCCTTTGCTATACAACCTAAGAAAAATTACCACAGATTTACCTCACATAAAACATAGGTGCCTCTATAGCTGGCAGAACAAAGACACCATTACTTACATTTTAAAGCCAATGTCCAAATCTTTGAGGATCCAGGCCTTGGTCCTATTTGGAACCCCAAGTGGATCCCTCTTCTCATGATCTAGCTCCTACTTATGTTGATGACTTCCTATGGCTATTCAGGAAGTTTGATTGTGAAGCTAGTAATCAATTCATCTGGCTCTCTTTTGGATGTTGTAGTTGACTCTGACCTAATAAATCTGTTTTGCTACATATTGTCTTCATTTTTCCCACTTCCATTCTCTTAATCTTCCTTTACTCACTGGTCTTGAAACATTAGCTCTGTTTCTGCCAGTCCTGTTGAGTTTCTCCAGCATTCTCTATGTTTAGATCAACTTGACAGGATGGTAGGGGTCTCCAATTGCCCCAATTTTGGAACAATCAATGACAGTCAATGTCGGAAACATAACACACTGCTTCCATCTGCCCTGACTCCCTTCTTTCCCTGACACCTGCCTCACAAGAAAAACATAAAGATTTACCTTTGCACCTTGAAACCCAGAGGACTCAGCTTCAACCAATGGACTTTAGGATCTAGAAGCCTGTTGACCCAGGTTGGCAGTGTCCAGGCTTCTGATAGGATGAAATACTCACCGTCACTTGCCTGTCAGCATGTAGTGTGCTGACTGTGGGCAATCCAGTACGCTCTCTCACTGGGAAGAGGAGTGGCATAAGCTCTGTCCCATATTTTAAAGAAATTCAGAAAACTGTGCCTGTAATATTGTTCTGTAAGCTTTCCAGTAAGATTGGACATGGTAATTTCATCCACAGCAAACCTGTACTAAACATAGTAAAGTTGCATAATCTTTCAGATCAATGTTATTATCTTATATAAATCATCAATAAAGCCTCATGTTGCCCTATGTTATTAACTAAAAAACGGCCATTTACAAAGATGAGCTTGTTATGATGTGATACGTGGTGCACCAACACAACATGAACATGATGTTTAAGCATTACATTTTCTGTTAGCTGTAAACTAATTGGCACACTTTAGTGGTCATTTATATATTTGCTTATGCCATATATCTTTAAAATAAAAAGGCTGTAACAGTGAAAACACTCCTCAAACACATATGAAATTATGAAAATAATCATGCAAAACCAATCCCTTTTTGGCTTATCTATCTCAAGTGAAAAGGCATTAGTAACTAAATATCCCAATGAAAATGTTAGAACATATTTATTCCAGTTGGTTCAATATTATCTCTGGAGTTGTCTAACACATCTGTAAGTTAGCTTCTAAATATTTTAGTCGTGTGTTAACTGTACTTACCAAAGACAGTCCTTGCAGGCACTGATTCTCTATTCAACCAAAATGACACTTGTGAAAGAATGACAGTCATGATACACGGCAGGTAGGTCTGGATCACAAAATAGCCAATTTTTCTCTTCAGGTGAAAATACGTTGTCATAACTTTGTATTCACCTGAAATGAAACACCAACGAAAAGTGGGTTTGCAGTGAAAAAGATTACACTAATCCTATAAATCAATACATTCAAAATAATCTTTATAAACATTGTAAACCTAAATTACATAATTTAATGAGAGACGATCAGTATCAGTGCTATTCCCTTTAGTTTTTTGGGGGGTTGACATACAAGAGAAATGTTAAGGAGATTCAAACTGCATTGAACTTATTAAATTCCAATTTTAGATAAGATGTGCCATTAGACTTGTGTAATCAGAAAATTATTTAAAGTGGATCTACCAGAATTCAGTTAAAAGCGACATGCTGACCACACATTTTGGGCCTGTAAGGTGTGGTTTAAATCCATGTACAAATACCATGGCTTCATTTTTAAGTACTCATCCCAGGAGTGGGCTAGCAGGCAGTATTGGTGTACAATTGATGGAAGTGGCTTTGTGCCTGTCACTTGCCTACTTCTGCCAATAGCTTACAGCAGCAGGAGTATGGTGCCAAGCTTGTTTTCAGCTGAACATAATGTCTATTTAGAATACCTTGATTTACAGGATTAGTTTGTACATTACATCAGCAATATGAATTCAGTCTAACCTTGGGTTTCACTGGAGACTATCATACAACTCAGATGTAATGCAACTGGCCATTAAGTACTAGGTAATAAACCTATTCTGTCCAACAAGACTGAGCTTCTCTTCTGCCAAAGTCTCCATGCGGGAATCCTTCCACAATTCATGTCAGTAACTTAGACCAATATAGTTAAGAAGGTCTGGAGCACAGAATATACCCTAGGTATGTCAGATGGTACTGGTGGACGCAACGACATATACCGCATATTTCCCCACCCCTACATGTATAACACCCACCCAAAACCCTGCCCTACAGAAGCACTCCCTCACTTCACCTCACTTATTAGTTAGCCTGGACCAAGCAAAGCCTAGGATATCATAACTTCCCCCCTCTACTGCATGTCTGACTTTATAGTTCCTCAGCATGGTGGACTACCTATAGTTAAAGCAATTCCAGAAGGAAAAGCTAGTAAAATTTGCGAATGACATACAAAACACTGTTTCACCATCTTGTATCCTTCAGAATGGATGTCCAGTATGCCCAGTACATTCATTTTGAAGTATTACTAGATTTTTACTGTCTGGTCAGGCTACTCTTCTCAGTGATATCACTGAGACTACAGAACAGCCAGTCAGTTTATAGGCTGACAGCTCTTGTAAGTGGTATTTCCTCCATGATAGGGTACAGGTCCCATTCTGAGTTACTTCACAGTCCAGTGGTCATAAACTCGCTGCAGTGCAACCTGACCAAAACGAGTTGGGCTAGTCCCTAACTTTTAAACTAACAGAGGAGGGGTTGCTAGGCCACATAAACCAGGCTCAATTTCTCATCTGGACAGAATGTTAACTTACTTGCCTATAAGTTAATGTACAACCAGGGGTGCTGAGGCTCATATTGTAGCTTTGAGCCAACTTCTCATTGATGTTGTCTACTACTGACTTCCTGATAAGTTTACAGTTGCACAAATCACTACTTGCACAATAATTTGAATAAGAGGTTCCTGATGTCAAAATCTCAAAATATAGAAACACAGAATCATAAGCTGGTTAAAGCATGGAAGACCATTTGGCCTATCTGTCGTTCTGCAAAATCAACTCAGCTAGTACCATTCCCCAATCCTTTTGTGAATAATTTCAATTTGTGTGCTTCTGGTTATGAAACTGAGACAGTTTTTATTAATACCTACTCTGTTTAAACCCCTTGTGATTCTGAACACTTCTTTCAAGTCTTCTTTTAAACTTCTCCTCCAAGGAGAACAAGCACAGCTTCTCCAATCTATTCTCATAACTGAAGTCCCTCATCACTGGAATCATTCTCATCATTCACTTTGTACCCTTTCAAAAGCCAGCGCATTCCTCTTAAAACGTAGCGCTCAGGAATGAAGACAGTGTACCCGTCAAGGCCAAACCAATATGTTATAAAGGTTCATATGTCAATTTATAAAACTCAGAATACTTATGCCTTTTTAAAATGGGTTATCATTGCCCTAAATACCAAATAAATTACCAATATAAACTTATAAAATATGGCTGTGATTTATTAAGAAACCATGCAGCACCTTGAAGCTAATAGCCTTGCCGTGCTCCTTCTTTGAAATGATAACTAATGTGTTTAATGCCCCTCAACCTGCTCCCACAGCCTCAGTATCTATATGGCTGCTGATTAAATTTCTAGTCAATGGTACCCCTGGGATATTGATGGTGGGGCATTCATGGGGAATGGTTGGAATTTGGTTAGATGGTTACATCTTTATGGTGTGAATGTTACTTGTCACTTTTCAGCCCAAGCTTGGATGTTGTCCAGGTCTTGCTGCAGAAATGTGAATGGAACTGAATGTTACGCAATTATGAACATCCCCACTTTTGTCTTATGATGGAGGTTATCTATCACGATGAAGCAGCTGAAGATGGTTGGGCCTTGAAAACTATTCTAAGAAACTCATAAAGTGGTGTTCTGAGACTGAGATAATTGGCTCCAACAACCACAATCATCTTCCTTTGTGCTAGGTATTACCCAATCAGTGGAGGCTTTTTGCTCTCGATTTCTATTAACATCAGTTTGACTAGGCTTCCTTGATCCTTTATTCATTCAGGGGATGAGGGCATGACTGGCTAAGTAGCATTTATTGCCCACCCCTAATTGCCCAGAGGGCAGTTAAGAGTCAACCATGTTGCTGTGGGTCTGGAGTCACATGTAGGCCAGACAAGTACGGCAGTTTCCTTCCCTAAAGGGCATTAGTGACCCAGATGGGTTTTTCCGACAATTGACAATGGATTCACGGTCATCATTAGATTCTTAATTCCAGATATTTATTGAATTCAAATTCCACCATCTGCCGTGGCGGGATTCGAATCCGACTCCCCAGAACGTTATCTGGGTCTCTGGATTAACAGTCCAGCGATAATACCACCAGGTCATTGCTTCCTCTCAGTGATGCTGCACTCAGTTACATACTGCCTTGATGCCAAAGGCAGTCTTCTTCCCTCATCTCTAGAATGCAGTCTTTTGTTATGCAGTTTTGGATCGACACCTGAGAATTTGGGTTCAAGACAGACTGGTTAAGGAGAAGGAATGGTGACGAACTGTTTTCAGGCTTAAGCTTTTGAACAGCTCTGTTTATTGTGTGTTGACACTATAAACAACTATAGATGGCAATCTGAGATATAGCAGATTCAGATTTAACATTTCAGGTCCAGTGACCGTTTCTCGAAACGTTAACTCTGATTTCTCTTCATAGATCTGCTCAGCTTCACCAGCAACTTCTGTTTTTGTTTCTGAATTTTAGCATCTGCAGTTCTTTGATTTTTATATAGCAGATTCATTTCTTTTATTGTTATATTGTTAAGAGACCATCGACATATGCTTCTCTCTTCAAATCTACTTCAATACTACTTTCTATCTACTAACACCTCCCACACTGTGCTACTTATGCTTTATTACATCATTGTAAGTCTGCTCCAGGGTGCTAAATTCATTAGACAAAAATGTTGAATGTTGTGTAGGTTTGGACCAAGTGTGTATAGAGATTCCCTTGCCAGGGGACTATCTGAACAATAGTGAGCCCAGATTATTGCTGACTCGCTTTCACTTGATAACACTGTCGATAACACCTTTTATTGTTTTACTGATGACTGAGAATAGACTGATGGGGCAGTTATAAGCCTCACTGTATTTGCACTTTTCATGTAAAGGTCATACACAGGCAATTTTCCACATTATCAGGTAGATGCCCGTGTTGTAGCTGAACTTGAACAGCTTGGGCATGAGCACAGCTAATTCTAGAGAACACATCTTTAGTACCATTGCTGGAGTGTTGTCAGGGCCCGTAGACTTTGCAGTATCCAGTGTCGTCAACTGTTTCTTGATATCATATGAGGTGAACTGAGTTGGCTGAAGGCTGGCATCAATGATGCTGGGGAGATTCTGGAAGTAGCTAAGATGCATCATTTGTACAGCAGTAATGGTTGAGGATTATTGTAAGTGTTTTCTGCCTTGTGCTTTACACTGTTATGCGAGGCTCTCCAATCATTGAGGATGGGGATGATTTTGGAGCTGCTGCTCTGGTAAATTGATTGTATTTTACTGTGTACAATTAAATGCAGCAAAACTATAAAACTCTGATCTGATCATTGGTCTTGCGATTACATATCTCTATTATATACTGCTTCCACTATTTAGCATGGATGTAGTTCTATGTCTTGGTACGCCAGGTTGGCACCTCAGTTTTAGATGTGCCTGGTGCTGCACCTGGCATCCCTTCTGGCACTGGTTGTTGAATAAGGGTTCATCTCCTGGTGTGATGATAGCAGTGGAGTGGGGTCTATGCCAGGTCATGAGTTTGCACAATGATGACCGAATACAATTTTAGTGCTGCTAAGGCTCACGTTGTCTCATGAGCTACCTTGTGTGTTCTGAGTATATCCCATTTCATGGTGGTATTGCTGCCCAATATGTCGGAGGGATTTTCAGTGTGAAGGGAGGACTTTGTCTCCACAAGGTCTGTTCAATGGTCACTCCTAGCAATACTTTCGTGGGCAGATGCATCTGTGGCAGATAGGATGGTGAGAACATGTTTTAAAGTAATACAAAGAGTTTGCAAATGTATGTAGACTGTTTGAGTGCGTAAGCAAAAATAAGACAGATGAAGCAAAATATGGTGACCTTCTCGAAACATATAAAATGTTGAGGCGACTTGAGATGAGCCATGCTGAAGGAAATCTAGACCTAAAAAGCATAGTTTCAGAATAAAGGGTCTGCTGTTTAAGATGGAGATGTAGAGGATTTTTTTTTCAATCAGAGGGTCATTAACCTTTGGAAACTCCACGCTATAAAAAAACTGGAAGTGGGGTAATTTGACATATTCATGACTGAGATAGATAAATGCTTGATTAACAAGAGAGTCAAACGTTTTAAGGTACAGGAGTTTAGTGAAGTTAAGGCCACAACCAGATCAACCATGATCTTATTGAGTGAGCTCAAATGGCCTACTCTTGCCCTATTTCTTCCATCCTTAACTAAATAGCTCAGTTTTAGAGTCATAGAGTCACAGGGCATGGAAACAGACCCTTCAGCCTAACTCATTCATGCCAACAACGTTTCCTCAGTTGAACTAGTCCCATTTGCCTGCGTTTGGTCCACATTCCTCTAAACCTTTCCTATCCATGTACCTATCCAAATATCTTCTAAATGTTGTAATTGTAATCACCTCTATCACTTCCTCCAGTATCTCGTTTTGTACTTACACACCATCCCCTGTACGAAAATGTTGCCCCTCAGGTCACTTTTAAGTCTAGCCGCTCTCACTTTAAACCTATGCCCTCTAGTTTTGGACTTCCCTACTTTGGGGAAAAGACCCTGGCTATTCACCTTATCTATGGCCCCTCATGATTTTTATAAATCTCTATTAGATCACCCCTCAGCCTCCGAAGCTCCAGGGAAAAGAAGTCCCAGTCTATCCATCTCTTCTTATTGTCCTCACAACAGTAAATAAATTCATGACCTCCATAACTACATGACTCTTCCGTCAAAAATCTCTTCATCTCTTCATGTATTCTCTTCATCTATATTTCTCAATTTTGACAATTGGCTTCCGATAAACTTAACTTAGTAAAAGATAATTGATTGCATTGGCTGAAAGTAAACACCACTTATCATTTCAATAGGTATAGTCGTCTGAAAGTTAGTATTTTAAATGGTTATTTAGAGATTAATGGCATTGAAAATGCAGGAGGGTTAAAGGCAGCTTTAAAATATATCATTTTATGTTGTGGCTCAGCCACACTCTGAGAGATTTTGTTTGTTGGTGCAGTTAGAAACCCTTTGTATCAATGCTAAATGTGGGGTTGAATCAAATGTGAAATTTCAAACAGACACCACAGTAAGGTGAAGTTGAGTGAGACTCACTCCCATGAAACTCTCAGAATGTGGCTGAATCACTACGTAATACCAGAACTTTTAAAGCTGCCTTCAACCCTTCTGCGTTTTCAATGCTACTGATCTCTAAATATCTAAACTTTGCTTCATTTTGTTCTGGTGCCAGGTTTTGCCCTGATATTTGTCTGCAGATTTATTTACACTACAGGACAGACACTTTGTAAATGCAGTTCTAAATAGGAATCATTTAGATTTAATCAGACTGAACTGGGCACGATACCCTGGTTGTTTATTAATGTTGCTTAAGATAAAGATCTTCTATTTACGGTTGTTCATTAGTTGGATAAATAATTGCCATTAACATCATGTCTTATTTTCAGTCTTCTTTTTGGTGACCCACATTACAAATTTCTCAACAGTGATCAGATGTGGCTGAAGTTGGAATTGACAGACCCTTTGGGATGAATAGGAAAGCACAGGCTGACATGCTAAAGATGGAAGAAATAGGTCAAGAGTAGGCCATTTGGGTACCATGTTGCCAGCAGTGGACAAAGCAGCAGAGTGCCCAGCTGCCCACAGCTCAATTGAACCAACAAAACATTCAACTGAAGGCTGTTCCTGCCTCCTGTGACCAGCAGGAGACATTCAGGGGAAGCTTAGCAGCCTCCTATCATGCATCAGAAAGGCGGGGTGTCTTGGGGAGGTCGGGGAGGAGAGACTGCAGAAGAAGTTAAAGTGCCACTTTAAATAAAAAGAACATGGTCCTGGGTCTTGAGCCCACTGGAGTAGCATTGCCCTACTCCCCGCCACAGCCCAACAATTGTCCTGACTTGGACCACAGCTGCCTCATACAAAACTGTGACCATCAGGTTATGTCAATGTCACAAGAGCAGGAAACACGACAATGTAACTAAACATTCGCCAAAACACCACACAAAAAAAAGTGCAGTTCTCACTGAGTGTCTCATTAATGCCATTTACTAATACTTACCTCTGATCTTGTGAAATGTGAGTGATTGAACTCAGATTTGTAAATAAATGGGAGGATTTTGTACTGGACAGAAAGATGAAGTTAGTACAAGTGGATGATGTGCCTACTTTTGTCTAGTCCAATGGTTCTATTACAACTTTATATGTTGGGTGGCCCACGAACAGCTGAACGGCAAGACTGCTAGCAAATTGGAGGCCCAGGAAGGGATAAAAATGTTTGTGATGAGGTGAGTGGTCACCAAATGTAAAATTTTTCTGCTACAGAAAGCAGTTGAGGCCAAAACATTGAAAACTTCCAAGAAGGAGTTAGATATAGTTCTTAGAGTTAAAAGGATCAAAGGGCATGGGCGAAAGAGTACTGAATCGGATGATCAGCCATGATCATAATTAATGGAAGAGCAGGCTAGAAGGGTGAAATTGCCTACTTCTGTTCCAATTTTCAATGTTATTAACATCCTGTCCAGAACTGAAATTGTATAACTACAGGCAATGGAGAAGATTTTAAGAGCTCCTTTCCAGTACAGACTGCGGCATTGCTCACTTGAGTCACACGCTTGGCCCATGTAAAGTTCAGATACGTGCTCTGCTATACCTAAAATCTTAGCTGCAATTTAACACATTACTGTGCTCGGCTTGCACAGCGCATCTGATCATGTGATCAGATTCCTCCATAGACTTGTAACCCTCCAATCCCCAAAACTGGCCAAGCAGTCGAAAACTGGTGGGATGTAGAGATGGGGAACTGCCCTGGGTCACCCTTTTTTCTAATACTAATGAGTCCCAACCTTCAAAAATCACAGCAGGTCTCCCTTTGAGATTACTTGCCAGCAAAAGTCCACTTGGAAAGGTAATCCGTATTCTGAAAAATTATACTTTTCTGAAGAAACCCAGCATTCTCAAGTCTGGCGGGGAAATTTGCGATCAAGAGCAATGATTAACAAAGCATTTGTAAACATCTTCAAGGTGCTCCAACAGAACGTGAAAAACACACACATACACAGAAATTAAAAACCAAAAGAACTGCAGATGCTGTAAATCAGAAACAAAAAGAGAGATTGCTGGAAATGCTCAGTAGGTTTGGCAGCGTCTGTGGAGAGAAATCAGAGTTAACATTTTCGGTCAGGTGACCCTTCCTCAGAACAGTTCTGAGAGAGATCACTCGACCTGAAATGTTAACTGTGATTTCTCTCCACAGATATTGCCAGGCCTGCTGAGCTTTGCCAGCAATTTTTGTTTTCATTTATGCACAGAAATTAGTAGGTTTAACATTTATTATTTCATTTCCCACTAGTTACTAGAACAAATGGCGAACAAAATCAGTTTAATTTCTCTAAGAAAATCTCACTAATGCTCAGCAATAGGCTTCTGCTTTAATACTGATCTGAAAATTTTACATCACATTTGGATTTAATACATGGTGTGTATATATTTCTGTTAAAGATAATCATCCCAGATAGCTGACCTTAAAATCAAGACCAAAACAAAGATAAAAAAAAGATAAAGTTTGGCAGCTTATGAATAACAATTTCAAAGAATGAACTACAAACAGGAGCCTAGGAATTGAAGGGTTCTACTTACCCATGGGAGGAACAGTGAGTAAAAATTTGTAGCTGCCCAACTGCCTATGCTGATTCTCACCCCAGTGTAAGTATTAAAACCCAAGCCATTAAAAGCACCACAGAGATGTACCAAAATTTCACAGAAGTACCATCTCTCCCTGTCAGGGTATGAATGTAAGTTGGCCTAATATGACCCAAATGACCAGAGCTTCCATTTTCATTGAATTAATAGCTTTCCAAAATTCATGTTTTTATTTCCTTATTCATTCACGGGATGAAAGCGTCGCTGACCAGGCAGCATTTATTGCCCATCCCTAATTGCCCAGAGGGCAGTTAAGAGTCAACCACATTGCTGTGGGTCTGGAGTCACATGTAGGCCTGACCAGGTAAGGATGGCAGTTTCCTTCCCTAAAGGACATTAGTGAACCAGATGGGTTTTTCCAACAATTGACAATGGATTCATGGTCTTCATGAGGTTCTTAGTTCCAGATATTTCTATTGAATTCAAATTCCACCATCTGCTGTGGCAGGATTCGAACCAATGTTCCCAAAATGCCATCTGGGTCTCTGGATTAACAGTCCAGTGATAATACCACTAGGTCATTGCCTCCCCCTCCCAGGTCATTACAGAAAGGTTACTTTTTTTTTGCAGAGGTTTGGCGGTAGATGGTTATTCCAGCTTCATGGTACTGTCTCCAACTGTGATATCACCAAGTACGGAGGACAGATGAAGGACCTAGTAGAATTTACAAGAGTGTCCACAAAGGGGTAGTCAGCTTCCATCACAAATTCCTACTCTCATGGCTTGGTACAAAGTTAACTTGCAACCCAAAACAGGCACATAATCTAGACCAGAACGTTACTCCCAAGAGGTTACCACAGGATCAGATCATTTTTGTGCAACCATTTTCATGCCAAATGAACACGCAAAAAAACTGTCAGCTGAATTGTTTTTCACAAACCTGTACTAGACTGGACGAGCTCTTCACCCACAGTTTGTCCGAGTAAATCATACTGATTCAGACGAGAGCCATCTTCTGCAACGACCACAGATTTTGCTGGTTCATTGGTCCAGTTGTAATTCACCTCCGTGCTTGTATACGCATCTACAGACACAATGAAGGAGAGCATGATCAAGCAGGATAAAAATTATTGCCATTGGCTAAGATACCAATCTGAGTATTCATCACTTGTCCCTGGAAATTGCAACTGATATACAGTTTAACCAGAGATATGAAGCCGGGGGTAATAAAATTGTGTGCTGTGTTCATCTGCTTATCATTAGATGTGAGTCAACATCTCAAAGCTTTTATAAGTAAATGGGGCTTACTTTGGAAGTCTCCATTTCTGAAAACAGCAGGATATCTAGCATATAAAACAGCAGTTGGGAGAATCACTGTCATTCTTCAATGTTTATGTCTAAAGTGCCTTCTTACAAACACACGCATAAAACTGATGTTGGTTTGGATTTTGCTGAACTAACAACGGCAAGGCTTCTGAAGCTGCTATCAGTAGCATCATGCTTCTCAAGTGGGTGCACCTTTACAGTTTCTTAGCAATGGAATGTGCATAGAAATCAATAATACAGTTAATTTAGGTTAGTACTCACTAATCTCACACTAAAGACTTGTGAATAAATTATTGTTCATTCAGGATTAACTCGGTTGATAATGGCATCAAAGACAACTAATCAAAGACACATAATGATGAACAACGTTTTTGGTTCTGAGCATTTACAAAATTTTACCAGTATGGAGTCTATTCTCTCAGAGGAAAATTGTTACAAGCTTCTTAAAAGCAAAATTATTTTTAAGTTCTCATTATTCTTAGAGTCATTCAGCACAGAAACACATCCTTCAGTCCAACTCGTACATGCTGACTAGCTTTCTAAACTGAACGAGTCCCATTTGCCTGCATTCAGCCCATATTTCTCTAAACCTTTTCTATCCGTGTACCTGTCCAAACGTCTTTTAAATGTTGTGCCTCTACCATCTACTCTGTCTGCTCATTCCATAAACGCACCATCCTCTGTGTGAAAAAGTTGCCCCTCAGATCCCTTTTAAATCTTTCTCTTCTCTCCTCAAACCATTGCCCTCTAGTTTTGGAATCTCTGACCTGGGGGCAAGACCTTGGCTATTTATCTTGTCCATTCCCCTCGTGATTTTATAAACCTCTTTAAGGTCAAAACTCAGCAACTGACTTCCAGGGAATAAAGGTCCCAGCCTATCCAGCCTCTCCTTCTAACTCAAACCTTGGTAACATTGTTGTAAATCTCATTTGCATCCTTTCTAGTTTAATAACATCCTTCCCATGCCAGGGCATTCCTGTTATTGCCGTATTACTATAATGTTTCTCATTTATGTCCCAAGCTTTATTTCACTTTCCATACGATGATTTAAGTTGAATTTAGATTTCCTGTTTTTTGTTTAGTTCCTGCTTACTATCAAAGTGCCTCAGTGAAGACTCCCTGACCTATTTGATAGGGAAGCTTCTGTTGCTCACAAACTCCACAGAGACGCCAAGTAGAGAATGTCAAATTTATACTGAGACTGGATGGCAGGAAGCATCTGCAGACAAGCCTGTTAAAATCTGTGGCTATTTGACACGAGGAGAATGGGGAAAAGCTGCTCTTCTCCAACTTACAGCAAAGTCCAGGCCCATATTAAAGACCCGGGGACAGTGTGTTCTGCTTACTGTAATTACTTTAACAGGCAGCATGGATGACAGTAGATTTCTATTACATTTTGCTTAAAATAACTGACACCAGGGTTTCACCAGGAAACCATTTGAAATAAAAACACAGGCTCAGATATTCCAATCAGGGTCAGAAATCCCATTTTCATCCCTGATCAGTTTGAAACTTACCCACTTAACTGAAAATATCTTCTGTGCTCGAGATTCCTGGCCAGGGACCTCCTGTCGTGATCCTGTCCAGGAATCCACAAATCCAGCAGTCAGGATAATCTTGGTGGAAGTTACAATCCCATCTGCAGAAGTTAGCATGTTTGTGACAGCAGTCTGTGATTTCAATGCACAGCAGCACAATCAAGCACGTTCTGAGGAAGGGTCAACGGACCCAAAACGTGAACTCCGATTTCTCTCCACAGATGCTGCCAGGCTTGCTGAACTTTTCCAGCAATTTCTGTTTTTGTTCCTGATTTACAGCATCTGCAGCTCTTTTGGTTTTTAATCAAGCACTTTGACAGTTTGTGTGCAAAAGTAAGTTTGTGTGTGGGTAGGGGGAGGGTACCAGGTGGTTAAGGGATTAGGGTGCCAGGTGGTTCAAGTGCCAGTGATGGACTGCTCAGGGTGGGACAGGCTTGGGAGGTGGGGGAAATTGGATCTGGCAGTGGTGTGATTATCTGCTAGGGTGAGTGTTGGCTGTGAAAAGGTGGAGCTACAAGGGACAAGGTAGAGTTGGGTCTGGGTTGGTTTCAGGACAGCAGTGAACTGTAAATTACATATCCGGGGAGGGGGAGCTTCAAGGTGGCAGCTAGTGTGTGTTGGGTCAAGCTGATAGCTGGGGGATTTGGATCCTGGGAGGGGGTAGAATCACGTTGGGTAGAGGGAGGTTGTGGTTATCAGGGGTCTGGTAGCTATAGGAGGTTGAGCTGGTTGTACACAGAGGAGTGAATAGTGAGTTGGGATATGAGCTTAACAGCCAACCAAGAGTTCAAGTCAGTTTTTAATACGCTAACTATTCCTGAGTAAGTTGTACCCTAATGGAGTCAAAACTCTTTGAATTCTCTAACTTTCTGTACTAATTTGGAGTTTTCATGATGGAATTGCCTATCGACATTACTGCACAGAAAATTCCCAGGCTCCAAACAAAGTGGACTATAGCCAGTCCAGTAGGTCCAGTGCATACAGTGTGGGAACTGGTCAGAGAATATCTGGGCGTCTGGTCAGTGACCTGTCAGGGCTGTTGGCCAGGGGACAGTTGGCCACAGTCATTCCTAAAGGTCAGCTCAGTGAACTTCAAGTGAGGATAGGGCGAGGTGGATGAGGACTTAATACTGGGGATCGGAGACAGTAACCTGGGATGCTGAGGGAATACGGACAGTGATGGGAAGAAGTTTGACACGTGAGTGTGGAGGAGCAGTTAGTGCACGGGGGTGCATGAGATGTTGCAGGAGGAAGAGTTAAGGGCAGTCACCACAACTGCCTTGGCCATGATGGGGGCATGATGTGCATCAGGATGGTGGACTGGACTGAATGATAGTGACAGAGCTCAGGGGATAAGATAACCTACCGTTGGAAAACAACTTTCTAAAGGGTCCTGACCCAAAACGGCAACGTTCCTGCTCCTCTGATGCTGCTTGGCCTGCTGTGTTCTTCCAGCTACACACTGTGTTATCTCTGACTCCAGCATCTGCGGTTCTTGCTATCTCACTGGAAAACAATTGCTGCCACACCCAGAGTAGGGGGAGTCAGTGTTTCTTTCTTAAATGGGCCAAAACGCAGGCTCAACCCCTTAGTGACAGGAGGTGCTACAAAGGGCAATTCCATTACACTAGCAGACTACAGGGTGAAATCATCTGTAACCATATCATAATGTGTGTCGAACACACGCAGTGTACAACTATGTGGGAGTTACAAACCCTGGTCACAAGCAATCCTTATCATGTCATTGGTCACTATACACTGGAGATAAGGTTGCTTGGGTTTAATTCTTTGAAACAGAATTAAACACAGGCAACCTTAAAAGAAGCGCCAACAGACTGCAAAGCACAGTAGAATCTTAGAATCCCTTCAATGTGGGAAGCAGGCCATTGAGCCCATCAAGTCCACACTGTTCTGCCAAACAGCATCCCACAAAGCTCATGGTAAATATCACAGGTTGCACAGGGGCATGGAACTGATTCCTCTCACCTTGAACTGTGAGTAGTCTGCAAATTGCTTCCATGTGCCATCATGTCTTTCTTCAGTGATGTGGAGCTGGAAGTATAAGGTCTCAATGTTCATACAGCACCAACAATTGCCTGTGGGTCGGTTAGCTCACCTGGCTCGATGTCTAGTTTGCAATGTAGAATGATTTCAACAGCGTAGGTTCACTTCCTATACTGGGGCTGAGGTTACCATTGAAAGAGCCTCCTTCTCAACCTTTCCCATCGTCTGAGGCATGGTGACCCTCAGGGTAAACAAACACCAATTGTTTCTCTCTCTCTCTCTATTGAGTGAGCAGCCCTATGGTCTGGTAGGATTATGGCAACGTAACCTTTATAATCTCCTACTGTCTCTTTGCAACATGACTGCTCAATGTTAAAATGCCATGTGGAAGACCTTCTTGGTCCATGTGCTCCACTCTATGATGCAATGTGCAAAGCTGTCATTTGTGAGTGATGCGAAGGACCTATTCTGTTCTGTATGTTCCCTAGCCAGGTTCCTTGTTAAATGTGACAGACAGGTTCAACCACAGCAGGAGTTAGCACTGCTGATGTTGCAATGCAATGGACATGCAGGAGAAGAGGATCGGGTGCGCCAGCAAGCCCAGGGCCAAGAACATAAAGCAGCGGACGCTCAGCAGCCTCCACATTGAAGAGTTGCAGCCAAAGATCCCATCGGGGTGTGTACAATGTACAGGTGTTGGGGATCCAGAGTCTATCGTCCTGGATACCACTTCCTTCAAAAGCTGAGCAAGTCCTCGGCCACTGTGACTATACTGTGCCAGCTGCTGGAATGGGTTCGATGATCTGAGTGAGTGAGTGCCCATCCTATCCCAGTGGCTGTCGAAGTGCCAGCTGAGTTGACTTTTACTGAGTGATGCTTTCTAAGGAGCCACTCAGGTCCTGCGTAGGATCACTCACTTGTCGATGTATTTAGTCTGTTAATGATGTTAATTGTACCAGCTCACACCCTTTCACCTGTTTTCCCTGTAACTTTTCCTTCTTGCTTTCAGCGGCGGGAGTGGTGAGGACGCGAGCCGGGAAGTGAACTAATATATTCAGGCATTGGCTAAATCCGAAACACTACACGTGTAGTGTCTCCCACCCATCCTCCTCTAACTAAAAATAAAAGTCTGTGTGGAGCATCGGTAAGGTAAGGCTTTTTTTTATTCTTCTGGAAATCTAGAGTAGAGGGAATGGAAGCTAGGGCAGTTGCATGC